CTTTGTTGGAAGTACGTTGAGGTCAAGAACACGGTCTTTTTCCCCTGTAATTTTCACAGTCTTTACAGCACCCACCGAAGAGTACTGGTGTGGAGTGGTACTGCCTTGGCTTGCTGACCATGTGTGAATCCATCAGCTAATATCCTTGGTAGAAAGACGGGCAATTTCCTTTAAGATGTACAGTCCTGGAAATCTGACAAAGGGCTATTATTTGTTAGAACTAACTTGAAGGGTCTCCCTCTCTTTCTTGTGTGTGTGTATTCCACAAGGAATGCTACACAGGCATGTGATGAGGCGAGCAGGAACAGAATGGATGGACAATGAATGCGATACTGGAATAGGTGAAGGGGGGGTATCAGCGTCAATGGACACTCAGACATTATATGCTGATACAATTAACAATCTGGAACAGGACATTACTATGGATTGAAGAGGGGAGAAAAATCTGTATAAATGAGTGAATAAAAAACCTATCACATCATATAACTAGGTATTTCGGTCATCACAGGAGACTAGAGGGAGGGCTACATGGTGGAGGGGACCTGGGGGAGGGTTTGTACAACAATCAAAGAATCTTTTCTTTTACTTTTCCATAATTTTTGGACTCATGTACTTATAACTTGTTAGTCAAATTTGTGTCTTCTAGGTTGCAACACCCCCATGATACATCTTCAAGGATATGAACATGTACAGCCAAGCACAATCAATAAGAGTGCATCTAAATTCCAAAATCAATCTCCATAATAGTCTATGTGTTTCCTACTGCCAAAGGGGCCCTTTAGAGTAGTGAGAGAAGATCTTCACCCTGAAACCCACAGCGTCCCTTTTCAGCAGGAAGTAGCTAAGAGAATACGCCATCCCCTTTTCCTTATGACTCAGGGTGAAGTCTCTCTCAGGGAGGAGTGATAGGGAATGGCAAAGGACACACTGACAAAGGAGATTAATCAGAACTGGCTTTGACAAGCACTGTGGCATTTGGACAAGAACAAACTGGGAGGAGGGTAGAGAGAATAGTGCAACAATGAATGAATGGAAACCCAAAATCTCTGTAAATGTTTATGAAAATTAATAAAATATAATTATAAAAAAACAACAACCTAGCACATCATAAACTTTCATCCAAATAACCATAACTGTGGGGGGGGGGGAAGGGTGCACAATAAATGATGCCAATAAGATCTTTGTATTTTAATGCCAATGAGGATCTAAGCATAATTTTCAAGATAACCAAGAGATACAAATGAAAGATTTAGGAAGTCAGTGGATGAGAAAGCAAACGCTGACACTCCTGATTTACATCTGTTCATGTAACAGAGAAGGGCTTGATTAGATGTGGTTTTGGAACGGATAGCGACATGGTAACCTCACTGTTGTCACTCTTGAAGTATGAAGAACAAATGATTCATTAAACAAAAATTTTGAAGGCTTCAATAACACATTCTTCTTGTTCTCACTTTTTGATACTTTATTTTCCTAAAAGTGTCAAAATTAGCAAAGATCTCACTTTTAAGCACTGCTACCGTTAACGGCTGCCCTTTGAGGAACGTGACTCACTCCTATAGCACATCAACAGCAACATAACAGACCTTGGGATTGCTTCTCATCTGAATTTGAGTGTGATCATATTTTTTTTCCAACCTGCTATCCTACGATCTCACAAATGTAGAATGACTAGATTTTATTTTCTTATCCATGGGAGTAATATTTTTCTAAAAATTCTACAGTGCTGGTGGAAGAAAAGAAGGGTGGCTCCACAACTCACTTCTCAATCGTAAGAGTTAGTGGAATTACCAGTCTAGGCCGGTGAGCTGCAGGTGGGAGGACTGGCTGGAGAATTCATCAGGCACATTACATTCGTTTCGTTATTCATGGCCTAATCCAAGGGTCACAGCAGACAGTGTGTGCTTTCTCTCTCTCTCTCTCTCTTTTTTTTTAAATTTCAATGAAAGTTTACAGAGACAGTTTCCAGTCATTAATTGTTGCACTTTTCTACCTGCCCACCCCCTCCCTCCAATTCACTCTTCTCCTTGAAAAGTAAAAGAAAGTTTTCATTGCTATGCAATCCCTCCCTCCCCGCAAGTCCACTCCACTGTGCAGCCTTCACTCTGCACTCCTGTCATGACAATAATACCCACTCATACAGAGGCATCTCTTGAGCACCAGAAGGAAGAAAAAAGTCAAGGCCAAGCTTTGTAGCAGAGGCTGCTCTGTGGATCCAGCTGGTGCGTGTTTACCCTGGAGGCAGAGGACGGGGGAGACCAGGATGGTGATGCTACAGCCAGTCATGAAAGCTAACTCTGATTTGTTCTGATGGCGAGAAGAAAGCAACACACAAGCAAATAGACTGCACAGTGTTATTACCATGTTGCTTTACACTTTCATAAACATTTAAGCCACTGCACGGGAGGAGACTGCCCGTCCTCTCTAGTGGAGCGGTTTGATGGGTCTGTCAGAGAGGGACCATCTTTGGGTTAGCAGTGCAAATGTCCACAAGACTGGGCCACTAGAGTTCCTAGTTTGAAATAACTGATGATTTATAGAAAAGCTGCAAAAGATAGTGCCAAGAAGTCCGGATTATCCTTCGTCCAGACTTACAAAGGCTATTTTACCAGTTACTGTCTTACTTTCTCTCTTTATTTACTCTCTCTCTCTCTTCCCTTGAATCACTGGCAGCAGGTGTATACGTCATGTCTTGCACATAATGCTTCATTCTGTATTGTTGTTTTTTTCTGAGTAAGACAAACGTTTCACTATTTAGGGAGAATGCTTAAATGGCATCTAGTATGGCTGACAAGCACAGAAGGACAGTCTTCAGTGTGTATTTCTTAGGAACAAAGACATTCTCTTTCCTAAACACATACAATTTGTCAGACTGCAAATTACAGAAATTTAACATTCATAAAATAATCATCTAGTCTGCTGTCTTATTTAATCAACTCATCTGAAAATCTCATTTGAATAAGTTTTCCCCCCACACTGGAACCAGTACACCACCACATATCACATAAATTATAATTTATCATGTTCCTTTAGTATGTAATAACTCATGATATTGGTATTTTGAGGGAATAAAGCCCAAGTATTTAATAGAATGTTTCTCAAATTATTTTGCCTTTTATTTATTATTACAGTAAAGTGATGTAACTTTGGTTATAAAACATAATTAAAGTGCTTGATTTGATAACCTGGCTAAGATGGTGGTCAAATTCTTCACTGTCAAGTTTCTGTTTCCTTTGTAATTATTAAGTAATTTGTGGGTAATGACTTTATAAATTACATAGTCCTCAGATATTGCTCATAATTCCTTGAATTGATTTTATTATGGAGGTTGTAGTAGTGTGATTTTCCAATACTATCATTACTCTTTATTTATGATTGAGTATTCTTCATAAAGGAAAAGCTATGTATGTGAATAATTATCTATTAATCTCTATGAAATCAGGGATTTCTCCTTTATGCCTCCACATGGATTATATTACCCTGTCGTTAAATACTGTTGAGTTGCTTGTGCAATAGCTCTTAACTCTGCCCTATTCTGAGCTAATCTTATTGTCTCCAATAGACCTAATTGTATTTCTCTAACCACCGAGTCAATCCATCTCATCCTGGGTCTTCCTCTACCGAGCTGCCCCTCCACTCTTTCAAGCATGATGCTCTTCTCCAAGGATTGGTCCATCCTGGCCACATGCCCAACATTTGTGAGACAGAGCTTCAAAATCCTTGCCTCCAAAAAGCAGGTTGGTTTCACCTTCTCCAAGACTGACCTTTTTGTTCTGACAATCCACGATATGTTCAAGACTCTTTTCAAGCGCTTCAACTTAAAGGCATCAGATTTTCCTTCATCCTTAGTCACTGTCCAGCTCTCTGATGCATAGCAAGTAATTACAAAGACCATGCCTGTATATTTTGATGCTCAAATCTGGTGTCAAAATTAGAGCCCTTTGGGATCAGCACTGACTTCACTGCCTCCTGCGAGACATGTTCCTATCAGCCACCGGGAATTTTCTTACTTTCTAGTGGATGTTTCAAGATTACTTTTATCTTTTGACCTGGCTCCTTTCAGTGGGGCAAGATATTTAGAAACCAAGACCTGGACGCTAGGTGTGCTGACGCTACCAAAAGGTTATGGCCTCTCAGCAATTTCAGTCCACAGAGCTGAAGGACATATGCAGACTCATTTAAATAATGAATTATGCTGATAACTCTAACTCCACTCCAACATATATGATTCTTCCTTGACTTTTCATGTCCTAATTTGTGTTTTTTCTTCCATAGTAATAGCAATATACTCAGATGCTCCAGCCTACAATACACTGAGATAATTTGAGTACATTATACTCATCCACTATGAAAAGTCTACTAAAAGTGACTATAAGATTTATTTGAAGCTCTTATTTTTCTATAGACAGGAGATAAGACTGTACTTAAAACTTAACTAACTTCAGTGTTATTGTTATTTATTTGAAGTATATATAGTTGGTTAATTGATTTATCTTCAGTTTTACATTTTCCCCATCCTTGTTAATTTGACTTTTGAAGAGTAAAATATCAACATAAAGCCAAAAGTTAAAGCTATATAAAAATTGTACTCTAGGAAATAACCATTTCTCTCCCTTTTTCTTACCTCTTTCTCCCCAACCATTTTAGGAAATCAAGGTCACTGGTTTCTCATATATATAAGGCATGCAGATTTTAAAATAAACTGTCACAATGAGTCACAGGCAACTTGACAGCACATAACAACAACAAAGGCTAACTATCACAACGCATAAAATATCATCATTTTTTCTCTACATACTGTCTCTCTCAAACTCCGAAGACCTACTTTGTAGACCTGTCAATGAAGGTCCAAACTTTCTATCACCGATTACTGGTTACAATAAGAATACAAATATCTTTGTGTTGATCTGCTTGACTTCTGCCTAGCCTTGTTCATCAAAGCAGTTTGAAGTTTAAAGCATGAGTTTAATTTAAGGACCAGGCCTTAATGATCGATTTACCTGTTCTTCAGAAACTTCTAGGGGAGGGGACCCTTGTTGTTCAGACCGCCGACCATCCTGATAGTTCGCATTCTGTCGCTGACGTAAAGGAGGGAAAAGACGATTCCAATTGATCATTCCTCCCTAAAAACAGAACAACACACATTTACCACACACAGAAAGGAGAGGACGTTTAGAGGGCTTCCAAGTTGCCTCCAGATGCAATTGCCTTTATAGATTATGAAGTAAAATGTCACACTTATGTACTTTATGCAAGTAATTAAAATCCTAAAGCATCCAACACCCTTCAATCAACAGAATAAAATAATGAGCTAGAGTAGATTCACAAAGAGAGAGAAGAAGGTAAGTGATATTACACAAGTTATCTGTACAGCGTGGCTATCACATCAGCTAAAACCAATTCTGTTGTCTCAGGTGCTTTCAAGGAGCCTATGACTCACAGTGACCCCAGGACTAACAACTGCTGCTTGGTCTATGTACAGGTTTTGCACGAGCACAATTAGGTGTTCGGGAATTCCAGTCCTAGTCTTCTCTCTGCTACTCACAATTTCTCATGATCCACACAGACACATACTTTGCACAGTCAGTAAAACACAAGGAAACACATTTCTGGTATCCTTTGTAATTAACTGCAGACAATCAGAAAGCTAGAACTTCTCTCAGCACCTCTTTTAAATTGTCTTCCGCCCGGACTGACACTGAGGTTGGGGTAGGGGGGAGACTGAGAAAGATGGGATAAACTATGTATACTGCATTGAAACAGATGAGGGAGAGAACTGTTTAAAAGGGATGTATGATTAGGTATTATTGTCATGACAGGAGTCCACACAGCAAAGGCTGTGGAGTGGATTTGGGGGAGGGATTGCCTAACAACGAAAGAATTTTTCTTTCACTTTTCAAAGAGAAGAGCGAACTGGGGTGGGGGGTGGGAGTGGACAGGGAGAAAAGTGGAAATCCAAAATATCTTTAAATTTTTATAAAATTAATAACAATAATAATTTTAAAAAAACAACTTACTGAAATTTCTTTAAAAATACTCCAATTTTCTAGAAAAGTATAATTTCCTAAAATTTATTTAAGAACAGATAGAAATTGTTAATCATTTTTGGAAAATGTTCTTGGGAATCTACTCAAATTGAATATGTAAGTATGACTTAGCAAACGAAATCCTAGAAATGTAGCCAACAAATATGCAAGCACATGTTCATCTAAGGACATGAACTGTTCTTAACAGCATTATTCAAGGCTCCAAAGACTGGAAACTACCCAAATGTCCATCAAATGAAGAACAGATAATTACGGTATTTTCATATAATGTAGATACAGTTAAAAGAAAAGGCTTATAAGGACACAGAACAACATATTGCCATTGTTATGTGTTGTCGAGTCACTTGGACTCATAGTGACCCTGTGGACAACAGCTCTGAAACCTGCTCTATCTTGTGCCAACTTTACTGTCTCTGACACACCTACCCTCATTACCCCAGTCACTGGATCAATCCATCTCATCGAGGGTCTCCCTCTCTTTGTCCCTCTACTCTTTCAAGCATGATGTCTCTCTCCAACGACAGGTCCCTCCTTGCAACATGTCTAAAGTATGTCAGATGAAGCTTCAGAGTCCTTGCGTCTAAGGAGCAGCCTTGTTTCACCCTCACTAGGACAAACCTGTGTGTTCTCCCAGCAGTCCACTCTATACTATTCTCCAGCACCACGGCTCAGAGGCATCAGCCATCTTTCTATCATCCCTAGTCATTGTCCAGCTCTCTGACACACAGCAAGTAATTGCAAAGACATGAATCTCTTAAATATAAAGTTAAAGAAATAAAATGTAAAAAAAATAATTTATTCTGATAAGATACATACATATACATATACATATACATATATATATAAAAATAACAAAAATGTGCCATCTGAACATGCACAGTCCAGTGACAATTACATTAGCCACACTGTGTAACTATTACCACTAGCCAGTGCTCAAGAGTTTTTTATTAGCCCCCAAAAGTTGTTGTCTGCCTTCGAGTTGAGCCCGACTTGTAGTGGCCCTATGAACAAAAGGCCTGAAGCCCCTCTACAACTATCGACATTTATCGAAGTTCATAGGGTTTCTGGAGGCAAGTTATTTAGGAAGTGGATGCCACTCTTGCTTCAAAAAAACCCTACTAAGCAATAATTATTGTCCTATTCTCACAGACCTTACAAACTACTAAAGAAACCCTGTATGTTTGTACACTGTTTTACCTTAGAGTCGGAACCAGTCCATAGCTGGCCACCCAGTGGGTTTTCAGAGGCAGTTAATGACATGTGAGGAGACTGCCCATCCTTCTCCTGAAGAGCAGCTGGTGGCCTTGAACCGTGTGCCTTTGGACTGCAGCAGAGCTATTTAATACAAGTAGGATCATATAATATTTGTTTTTTGTGCCTGACTTATTCACTTGGGGAGTTCTGGTGGCCTAGTGGTTAAGGAGTTACACTGCCATCCTAAAAGCAGTGTTCAAATTCACTAACTGTTCTTCAGGAGAAAAGTGGACATCCCCTCTTAGAAAATTTAGTCTCTGAACACCTGAGGGAAGGCCAGTTATGAATTGGTTCTGCTTCAACAGCAATGAGGTTGTTGTCGTGTTGTTGTTTCACTGACTATGCTTTCAAAGTTCACTCCTGTGTAACAGATATCAGAACTTCATTTCTTTTGATGGATTAATACTATTTCATTGTTGTTGTTGAACTGACCCATTGCTGACCCTCCAGAGGGTTTTCAAAGGCAGTAAATGGCATGGAAGGAGACTGCCTACCTCACTCCTATGGAGCTACTGGTGGATTCAAACTCTGTGCCTTTGGGATTGCAAAACAGGTTCTTCCCCTTAGGTGTTCACAGTGTACATATAGACAAACTGTGATATATGGATATACCATTTATCTTTGGATGGATGCTTATAAACCATGAGTGCTGTATTTGTCTTAAACTTACTCATTGTTGAGACACATCATTAAGAATAGAAGGGACAAAATGGGATTAAACTTAGAAACCTTAGCCTATGGCTTAAATAAACTTGCAAATACAGCCAGCAATGAACCAGCGTCTCAGGACTCTAAACCGCACTCCCAGGAGAACTGAGGTGGTGACTTCTGGGGCTTTAAGAGGTATCCCTCCCTAATCCCACCTCTATAAGACAACAAACAGCTTGTTCTCCACGGTGTTAAGCAAAGACCAAAGACACTGGAGTCACAAGAGGCTACATTCCTTACCTGATAGTTCAATGAGTGAAAAACCAAGAATTGAGTGCAATTTCACTCAAATCACATTAAGAAACACAAACCAAAAACAAAAACAAAACACGAAAGGCAAAAATTGCCATAACGTTAAAGGGCAACTAAGAGCCGCCCTCAAGTAGCTGTTTGTCTGGGAACTTACTGGGAAACTGTGATCAAGGAGAACATCTAAGTGCAAAAGTTAATATTATAAAACCCACAGGCTAACAAATCTAATGAGCTATTAAGATTTTTATGGGGAAAAATGATAAAAACTGGATTTAAAAGTGTCAAAAGACAAAGATTCCATACATTCATGCTCGAGGAAGAGTCAATACTGCCAACAGCTATTAATACTTATCCACATGGGGGTCACATCCGAAGTGTAGCTGAATGCTTGTTGACACCCAAGGCCTATATCCTCTTTTCTTTAAAAACAGGATTTTTTTTAAGCGTGTCCATTATGTTTTTCAGCTTCTCCTGCATCTGAGTTGTGCCTCGGTAGGTAGTAAAGCACATGGGATTTCCAGGAAGTGTCTGTAAAGGCAGGAAGCACCCTTTCCTGTTACTTCCTCATCCTTCCTGAAGCTCAAACAGCCACTGCAGACAATGAGATAGAAGCCCTGTGCCAAGGATAACGTAGCCAGAGAAAACGCCTAGGTCTTTGACCACGGACAACTTCAGAAAGTTGTACCAGCCCAGGTCTGCCTGTTTTCACTGAACTTTTGTTACATTACAGAGAAATACATTTCTACTTGAAGCTTCTGTTATTTTGCAGCTTTTACTACTTACAGTTGAACCTATTTATTCCAAATTATTATAGATAAAATTCAAAAGTGTGTACATATGTCAGTGTTGCATGTGGCATTATTCACAACAGCCAAAAGGTGGAAACAACCTGCTTGTTCATCCCTAAATGAATGAGTCAACATACTGTGGAATAGGCAGATCATGAAATATTACCGAGTCAGAAAGAGAAACAGAGTCTGCATACATTTCACTATATATATGAACACAATTCCTAGTGAAGCAAATCATGGAGAAGAAATGACTGAAAAGAAAACTGGATAATATTTATGAATTGGTAATTTATAGAAGAAGAAATGATATCAATACACACAAAGATGTACAATCTTATTTGTATCAGGAAAATGCAACTGAAAACAACACAGAAATATTTTTCCTGATAAGAATGACACAAAGGAAAAGTAAAATAATACCAAATATGGGGATGATGTGAGAGAAATGGAAACAATATATATGAAAGATTGGTGAGAGTATAAATTGGCACAAACGGTTGTGGAGGACAAGCTGTCAAGATGCAGCACTACGAGTCTCTAAGGGAACATTTATGAGGATGTCCATTGAGGGATTGATAACAACGTGCTGTCGAGTTGCCTGCCTGCCTCTAAATGGCGAAATGAATTAATAAACAGTTTTATTATATAATCGAGATAGATTAAAAACAACAGCTAGAAGTATATATAAGCAGCTGGAATATTCATGTATTCTTGAACAACTCTCTTTGCTGAACTTATTATGTCCAAGATTTTTCCATGTTGATACATGCAGATCTAGCTCACTTACTCCAGCAAATGCTTATGGGGTAATTTAAAGCAATAGAGACACTCATCAAAGAAATGAAGAAATGGCCAAAATTAACACTTTAATACAATATTTCCAACAACTAGAAAAAGAGCAGCAACTCCCCCCCAAACCAAACAAAAACCACCTTACAATCTACAGAGGAAAGGAGTAATGATTAGAACAGAAATAAATGAAACGTAACATAGTCCAGAAAGACAATGTTCTGTTTAATACCCAACTTCTGTGAGCAGCAATGGTGACTGAATAGCTTCCAGCATTAGCTA